TACTAGTGACATGTGTTGCACTAACAAAAGTGCTTGACAGCTTTGTTGTACATACCAATCTCAGTGTTGAGGTCTAGTCAGAGCTCTTGGCTACACCACTGCCACCATGGTTGGTGGACAAATGAGCTGACTAGCTCTAGAACAACTGTGTATCATACCTTGGTGGTGGCCTGGTGGACATCAGCACCAGCCTCTAGCAGAATGTCCACTACATCAGAGTGTCCTTCTTGACTGGCAACATAGAGTGGACTGAGACCATCCTGTACAGTGAGAGAGTATGAAGTGGGGTTTACTTCCAATCTGGAACATGTCATTACGTACCAACAGTGTTTGCTGACATGCATGGCTATTTGTTAGCCATTGCCTAGAAATCAATGCACTAATTTCAGGCCATGGGGTGAAGGGTGTGCAAAATAAGATCATGATGAAAGGGGATCACCCGGGATAGCTCTCTTTCCTTTGAAAAATAGTTTGACACACACACTTGTGTCTATGTACACCCTGTGGTTCATGAGGACACATCATAGTGACTCTGTGGTCTACCTTATTAGGAATGTCTCTGGCCCCAGCTCCTAGCAGTAGTTTCACCACCTCTGAGTGACCTTTCCATCCTGCATAGAGCAAGGCTGTGGCTCCCTCCTGTGTTGATATTATAATAGAGACCATCATAGCTAATACGAAGTGTTTAATAATAATGTTTGTAATGTTTGTAACATTATGAAAGAGACAAGCATTGGATCATTATCAAGTGTAGCACTGCACTATAGCTACAAGTGTTAAACTAGTCACAGGGACTAAACCCTGGAAGTAATGGAGCCCGGTCCATTAACTGAAATATGTATCCCTGGGAAACTATCAGTTGTTGTGAAAGGGTTTGTCAAAAAATCACTCAGACTCTGACTTCCCACATGACATCAACCACACAAAACTGGCACTTGTGTGCATGCCGTGTGCAGAGATGCACGTAGGAAAAAGTATGTTGATTTTGACAACCAAAACGTCAACCTTGTTCTGGTGGTTGACGTTGGCTCCTGCCTCCAACAGTCTCTGAACTGTCTCAGTGTGTCCATTCTGGGCAGCTATCCCCAGAGGAACATCACCATTCTGATGAGAGAGAGAGAAACTGTGAATTAATCAGTTCAGCATTGGCAGGTCAGTGAGGACCAGACACCTCAGAGTGTGGTTTCAGAGGATCAGTGAATGAGACACGACACTAACAAACACACCGACATACAATGCACCAGAACATGGTAGATATGGCTTCTCAATTTCGTAAAAGTGCTGCGTTCTCACGAAAACAAAGAGGAAAAAGTACGAGTTCCTTATGAAGGGTGAGTATGGGATGTAGTGTTTCCTATAATGATACACTGTGTATTATACCTAGCTGATAGTAGAGTGAGACAACGGGAAACTATACCATTATTACGGGATCAGACACATACATAATATAAACAAAAATTCTTGCATCCACATGTGTATTATCCAAATTGCATCACAGGTGTAATTACTAGTGACATGTGTTGCACTAACAAAAGTGCTTGACAGCTTTGTTGTACATACCAATCTCAGTGCTTAGGTCTAGTCAGAGCTCTTGGCTACACCACTGCCACCATGGTTGGTGGACAAATGAGCTGACTAGCTCTAGAACAACTGTGTATCATACCTTGGTGGTGGCCTGGTGGACATCAGCACCAGCCTCTAGCAGAATGTCCACTACATCAGAGTGTCCTTCTTGACTGGCAGCATAGAGTGGACTGACACCATCCTGTACAGTGAGAGAGTATGAAGTGGGGTTTACTTCCAGTCTGGAACATGTAATTACGTACCAACAGTGTTTGCTGACATGCTTGGCTATTTGTTAGCCATTACCTAGCAACCAAACACTATAATTTCAGGCCATGGGGTGAAGGGTGTGCAAAATAAGATCATGATGAAAGGGGATCACCCGGGATAGCTCTCTTTCCTTTGAAAAATAGTTTGACACACACACTTGTGTCTATGTACACCCTGTGGTTCATGAGGACACATCATTGTGACTCTGTGGTTCTACCTTATTAGGAATGTCTCTGGCCCCAGCTCCTAGCAGTAGTTTCACCACCTCTGAGTGACCTTTCCATCCTGCATAGAGCAAGGCTGTGGCTCCCTCCTGTGTTGATATTATAATAGAGACCATCATAGCTAATACGAAGTGTTTAATAATAATGTTTGTAATGTTTTGTAACATTATGAAAGAGACAAGCATTGGATCATTATCAAGTGTAGCACTGCACTATAGCTACAAGTGTTAAACTAGTCACAGGGACTAAACCCTGGAAGTAATGGAGCC